GAGATGCTGTCTCTGTAGTTAAGCCACTGGGACATTTATCTTGGGATGTGGGAAACTCAGGTTCAAATCTCTGCACCAGTATGTACTCAAAGCGGAACAGTTCATGCTGGAGAGAATGCACCTATAAAACTTTCTCAGTAACAATTTTGTTAAAATGGCTTGTTCTTGTAACAGGTAGAAATCCCAGTCAGCTACGTAGATCTCAGGAGATCTGTGTTTTTACTGTTCTCTGTCCTGTATTTACCAGGGTTTGCAGACATGTCCATTCAATTTTTAAAGCAGGCAAGCGTAAAGAAAAGTCATACGTTAGTGAGAGAATATGATTGTGTTTATGAGGGAAGTATATTTTAAATTCTAGTGTTTGGGAGAGTAGATTTAAAAAGCATGGCCCAAAGTTCATTCAAATAATTTTTGCCTCTACAGCTCCTGAATATCCTTATTAAAAAAAAAAAAAGAAAGAAAGTGAAGTAAGGGGCAATTAAAATGTGACTGGAAGACATATAATAAAGCAATAAAGGTGATAGAGGCTGATCCTGGCATTTACAGCAAGAGAGTGGCGTAGTAGCAACGTTATGTCCTTCCTTATATTTAGCCAGTGGGACTGAAGAAGCTTATGAAAGAGCATTGGAGGAGTGGAGGTAGGAAGTGATTTAAAAGCCATGAAAAAGGGCTTTGGCAGGGTCAGTGAAAGGAAACACTCGAGCTTTTCTGTCAACCTTTGTTTTCCAGGCTAAACATACTTATTTCTTTTCTTGTAGCTCAGGCTGACCTTCTCCTTGCAGATTAGCTTTGCCCCTTCACCTCTTTCCTCTTTAGGCACTCCTTTCACTTTCTTTATGAGAGATTCCTTGCTTATGTTCCTTTCAGTGGCAGCTTGTTTTGTGTGTGCTTTTATTTTATAAAAATGGTTGCGTTTTGTACAGTGCATTTAGAGCTGCACCAGAGACTCCTTCATTTCTCATGAAATTTCATCTGAAGTTTCAGAGCACTACATGGAGGAAATGGAGTATTCCTGACGTTTAAGAATATGTCAGGTATTTTCGCATAAAACTATATTTGAATGAAACCTGGTGCCTTTTCTGATATCTGTAAAAGCAAGCCTTTGTCTCATTTGAACTCCTTAGGAAGTGCTCTGGGAAAATGAAAGAGAAAAGTATTTCTACGATGCAGATACGATATGAGTACTCTTTAAAGATGCTGAGATATAGGGGAGAGAGTGGGGGTTGGGAAACGCTGTATTGCTCTGTTCAGAAGCTATCCTCTAGATAAAAGTTGTAGCAGTCTGGAAGGGAATTCCATTGTGTTTTCCTAAACCGCTAGGCTTGGGCTGCAACGGATGGGACTTCTATGACAGTAACTTGTTTCAAACTGAGGGCAACTGGGAAAAAGCTGTAGGTCTCTGTCCATGGTATAGAAGGTGAACGTAATAATTAAGAGAAAATAGGTTGGTTTCAGTACATTCCTTGTTTGAGAGAGTCCTGCGCCTCTCTCATGTTGGTGGAATGTAAGCATTTTTTGGAGGTGATTCACTGGGAGGAGGGTGTAGGGGATAGACACTCTCTGCATGAGCACAGTTTAAACAGTGGTGTTTTGCCTTAAAGGGAATTATCTCTTCTCTTTTTAACTAAACAGTGCAAAACTCACAATGAGGTCCATAACTGTGTACATTAAAGGGCTCTGGAATAGCTAATACAGGGCTTGGTAATCCATACATACTATTACTTAAAAAGTGCCTTTAAAAAGAAAAATCTTACATGGATTTACTGTTAGAGAGAGCAACAAGGCCTGGTTGGTAATATCCTTGAATGCAGTTTGAAGTGTGTATTCCAACACACGTGTGCACAAGCATTCAACCCTAAGAGAGTATCAGTTGGGTGTTTGGAGTTGGTATGAGTTACGTTACTGTTATTTTCATTAATTCACATATAATCCAGATAAAGATTTGAAAACTATATCGGACTTGAAAATATCACTTAAAAATAACATGCACATAAACCTTCAGTGATACTTTACCTTACTGAATGTAATGGGTTTTGCAGTGACATGACATCATGAAAGTCTGCATAAAGCATTGTGGGCTCTAGTTCATAGCCCCTGTGTATAGCAACATTGTTTTATGAAGTGCTCCTCTTCCTGAAGGATTCATATTTGGCTGTTTTGTTAGGAGTTGGTAAGATTATGAAAGAATCCTAAAATATATAGGGAAAAAAATGTACTCACTGATTTTTTTTTTTTTTTTTAAAGAGCAGCCTGGTAAGTAAAAAGTGCAAGTAAGCTTTGAAAAGAAGAGGAAGAAGGTTTTATATTTGAATACCATCCCTCTCACAATGAATAATAGAGGAACATTTTACAATAAAAAGAGTCTTCCGACACATTCACATGCATACATGAATGTGAAACTTCCATATTTTGTCTTGTCTTTCTGAGACCGTTGTTTTCTGAAATAATACAGTACTTACTGAAGGCTATTTCACAGCTATTTTTTGCCAAAAAGCCTATTGATTTCAAAAAGTGGTCTATTCTGTTGCTCTTGAGTCATCAGGTATGTCTGAGTTGTCTGGATCTGCTGCAGTGCAGGGTAGAATTCAGGAGATTTCAAAACTAGCATTAGATAGGAAAGGTAGGCAATGATTTATTTCATTATCTCTTTTGAAAGAAAAGGATTTCAGTTTTGCACCAACAGGTAGAGCAGCACGCCCTCAGGATTAAAACGCTGTCTCCTGAGCGCTTGCAGTCGTAATGGGGTATAATACGAGCTGACTGTGGTGCACAGTAGTTGCACTTTGTGGCGTGTTGTGCTGTGGCTGCAGCTGGCCAGGGCTCCCTGGGCGTAGCCCTAACCTGTGAGGGTGCCAAGTTGTGCAGCCTGGGTTGTTACTGAGGTGAATTTGCAGAGTTTTCATAACATGCCACCGGAGCTCCTCTTGCCCAAAAGGCTGTAAACACACAGGGCTGCTTTAGAGCCACGGTGAAGCTGGCTGTTGCCAGGAGCCCTGATCTCAGAAGGCTCCTTTCTGCGTGGCAGAACTTGCCACCTCGCCTTCCCTGCAGCCTGTGGGCAACAGGGGCTTTTTGGAGAGCACCCAACCACCCCTGGAGGCTGGGGAGAGCGGAGTGTTTTGGAGAGCACCTGGCCACCCCTGGAGGTTGCAGGTGACAGGGCATTTTGGAAAGCACCTGGGACCTTGGAGGCAAGTGGTTTGGTCGGGCCCAGTGGCTGAAGGTGTTAGTGGCTGCTGTGAGAGGCTGGAGCCCCAGCTGGCCACAGTTGCAGCCTCCCTCCAGAAAGGGCTGTGGCTGTTTGTCCGGCGTTTCAGGGCCCTGCTTGGGCAGGGGCTGGAACAGCTGAACTCCAGGATGCCTTGCAGGCAGAAAGTGCTTGGCAAGGAGAGCAGCTGCCCTTTGTCTCCCCACCTGCCTGCTGTCCCCGGCTTCCTCTTGCTCAGGCTGCCCCTCAGGCAAGCCCCTCAGCCTCTGGACCCCACTGCTCTGCCCCCTCAGTGATGGCAGTGTTTTCATTATCGTTAAGAGTTGCATCCATGCAAGAAAATGCTCTGCTTAAAAGTGAGCAGTGTACACTTGAGTTTGTATTTGACCACAGGCCAAATGAGAATTAGCAGGATCTGAAATAAACAAGTTGGAAAAAAAAATGAAGGCACCAGTGTAGGTTCACTGGGTTTACCCAAGTGTGTCGGGGCATCTTATTTAGTAGTTGTAATGTGAGTAACATGGAAATACTAAGTAACAATAAGGCTTGCTTAATTGTGGGTTTTTAACATGCTGCCTAAAACCCAGGCATGTTTAAAGAGGATGCTACAATTAGCGTTTGTGAGGAACTTTTCAATAAACCATTTTTTGAATGGAAAATACTGATTTAACCGAAAGCTTTCACAGATATTATCAGTTCTGATTAAACTCTTGTTGGGAAAGTTTCTCATGGTCCAAAATGAAATTTCTGCTTCAAACTTTTTTTTTTTTTTTAAGTGGTTGGGGTCGGGGAGAGAATTGTTAGACTAATTTGATGGCTAGGGCAGTTTGCCTGATGCAGACCAAGGGCTTGAACCTTGGTCTCCTACATCCCATCTGTCTCTGATTGAATTTTTGAAAGGCTTGCTCTGCTCTGAACCCAAAGAAATGCTGAAATCTCCCCCCCCCCCCAAAAAAAAAAAAAAATCTTATTTTCTAGCCAGACCTAGTTATAATCAAGAAATTTAGACTTCTTGTAGTGTTTTACAATAGAATCCAGAAATATTTAAGCCCGTTAAAATGTAAAATAAGTGTGCACAAAACCACTCCTCTGGAATATGATACTTCAGAATTTTGCAGGGAGGTAGTATATGCACTAGTGAAGTTTGGTAAAGTACAGCGAAGATGAGCAAAGCTATATATGAAATACCCAATGGATGCAGGGCTAGGAGTTGGAGTAGTGCAGTTCACTCTTTCTTTGGCATACAGCATGTGTGTATAAAGTAATTTTTACACCTTGCCATTTTATGTGATGGTGGTTGTGGAATATAATAAGGCTTAAATTAAAGGGTACTGGGTTAGTTTGGGGTCTAGTTAGTTTCAGAGTAGGTGTTTAAAAAGTTGATTCCTTATTGAACCTGCTCCTAAGTCCCTGTGCCAATTTCCTGTGGCTTTTACAGTGATGTTTTTCTTATTTGGGGAAAAAAAAAAAAAGTATTTCTCTCCTTTCTTGTATTAAGGATCCATCCAAAGAGGAGAGAAAACTGAGTAACAAGGAAGCCTGAAACTACAGCCCTAAGTACAGTCCAATGCACATAACTAACAAATTGGGGGACTAAATCAGAGCACTTCAATTTTTTTGTCATAATAGTATTAAGTGCTACTTAGTAGTATTTGTTGTATCTTCTGGTGCTCGTTTCAACTGCTGCTTAGTGCATACCCAGTTCCACATCAGGGCTGGAATGAGTATGCTGAAGAGTATTTGGCTTTATGTTTCTAAGCAAATAAAATAGGGTTGGTTTGTTTGTTTGTCTTCTGGACTGTAAAGCGTCTTAGGTAGCCAAAGCTGCAAAGAAAAATTAGATCACTGAGTGTAGGCACCTCTTTCGTTTTTATTATGGCTAAAAACTCTTGTAAACTTGCAGCATTTTAGAAAAGCATTAACAGTTAGTACTTTTATTTTATCTGGGTCTAAATCCTGTTATTGCTATATGAAACTCTAGTACAACAAATTAGGAGCTTAAATATTAGGTAGTGTCAGACAACAAAGAAAGGCAACAGCTTTCTCTCATTTAATTGATATGGTACAGAGTTAGTGGTGGGTCCAAATCTGAGTGTTTGCACTACTTAGCTAATTAGCACCAATAACCAAACTGGAATTACACTTGCAATTCAACAGTAGATACAGAAAACAGTTTTAAATTGCAATTTGTAGCTGCAAGGCTGAAGAGATGCTCTTCTATTGACATGCATGGAGCATGAATATATAGCTGACTTTCTGGTTAAGATATCAACTGAAGATTATATTATCAAACATTTCAGTGTATAGTAATAGGTACCTTGAAATAGTAGTAGGTACCTTGAAATTTATTTTCTCATGTTAGCAAGCAAGTTCATCACTTTGGGGTGAAGTTATTGCCTCTCCACCCGATCAACATTTCAAACAGGTGGTGACATGGGAAAATAAGATTATATTTGCATTGTAATCCCTTTACATCATAATTTGTTTAGGATACTTTCTGTGCTAGACGCTGTAAAAGAGAGCAAAACTAAGTCTTCTCTTGCAGCAGGGCAGCCATGGGCACCGTGCACTGGGCCATGCAGGCGGCGTGCCACACGGACGGGGATGGCAGGGTCTGCCCTCGCAGCTCTGGGCTGCCTGTGACTCTCGTGCACCGCGCCACAGAGCTG